AAGGGAAAGTTAAAGCACCCACAGTAAATTGTCCAATTATGCTTCCAGGTAACTTCTGCAGTCGTTTTGGAATATCAGCAGCTCTGAGGATTATTGTTGGACAGCTGGATCAAATCTCCCAAACCACCAATCCTTCCTCATGAGGAAAGATGGGGAACGGATTGTCAGAGCAACCTAGCTGCCTCTCAAGCATCCCGTTCTTCCAGTCGTTCCACATCGCCATCCTCGGGCTGGACTCGGCGGGGAAGACCACCGTCCTGTACAGACTGCAGTTCAACGAGTTCGTGAACACGGTGCCCACCAAAGGTTTCAACGCGGAGAAGGTCAAACTGTCTCTGGGCGGCCACAGGACTGGGACGTTCCACTTCTGGGACGTTGGGGGCCAGGAGAAGCTGCGCCCCCTGTGGAAGTCGTACACGCGATGCACGGACGGCATCATATTCGTGGTGGACTCTGTGGATGCAGAGCGCATGGAGGAGGCCAAGACGGAGCTCCATAAAATCGCAAAGACCTCGGAAAACCAAGGGGTGCCCCTGCTGGTGGTGGCCAACAAGCAGGACTTGAGGCACTCTCTGGGACTCGATGAAGTTGAGAAACTGCTGGCGCTGAAAGAACTGGGCCCCGCGACTCCCTGGCACCTGCAGCCCGCCTGCGCCATCATAGGAGATGGACTCAGGGAGGGCCTGGAGAGACTGCACGACATGATCCTGAAAAGGAGAAAGGTGCTCCGGCAGCAGAGGAAGAAGAGATAAACCGGTGGCGAGAAAGACTTGTCTGCTGTTTTCACGTGAAGGAATATTCCCCCGGGTGGACTCAGGCCTCCCGCTGCAGGTCGCACAGTCAGCGTACTGAGTTTTATCAGTCCAGAACTGAGATGTTAGGATTCCCGGTCTTGTGACGACGCCGTTGATGAGGAAGTGATACATAAAGGAGCACAGTATGGAGACGAGAAAGGTTTCAGACATGTGTGGATATGCTACTAAAGGAGTTTTAGAAAGCAGTGAGGGTTCGGGGTGTGGAAGGGCGGTAGAAGTTAAAGATGCTGTATGTTTCATGAACAGCTAAAGGCCGTTCCAAACAACTACCAAAAATAATTTAAGAGAAGGCTTTGACTAGTTGAAGGGTTTCTTGGTGAACGATTGAACATTGGCAATGACATGTACATTTATTTTACTCTTTTATATGTTATTATAACTTGTTCTTTCTTTCTTTCTTTTTTACACTGGACTTCCTTTGTCAAAGAAAAGTGTTATCATGCGTTATTATTGATTGTGTTTGCTGGCTTATATCGCTCATTTCTTTTTTTTTTAAAAAAAAGCACTTTAGATTATCACTTTGTATGAAGTTTACAGTTTTAAAATAGATTGTGTTGGAGTTAACAGAAATGTTCGGGCTGAATACAACAGATGCTCCTGTAGTTGGTCCACTCGGCCACATTGTCATTAGACAGGTTATGCATTATGTTTTGCTTAATAAAGACATATTTAGAGCAACGTTTACGGCGGTATGGAGGCTGTTATTACGTCCACTGTGTTATTGAAGCTTGTGTTTAAAAAGCAGGTACTCACACATGTTCAGGATTGTAACCTTCAATTCATTTAGGTGATAGCAGTGAGTTTTAAGAAGCTTCTCTGAGAGGGATTGTTATTGAAACAAGCAGTAAACATTTGTCCATGTGTCCCTTTAGCGAGGCACCAGTTCCCTTTAGTGGAGCTGCTGGATTGCTGACATTAAAGAACTGATCTGTCACATGTGATTGTGATTGAAGGGGTTTCCAAAAACGCAAATATTCTGCTCAATCAAGCTAACCTCTAATTATCCCTTTAAAAAGGTTTCATTTCAAGCTATCAAATCTTGCACAATGACTGTACTGACACAGGAACACAACCGTTTAAACTGAGCTTAAAGTTTGGGGCGTGTGCAGGTGTACAGCGCTCTATTGTCCGTACTGGAAACTCTGACATGCCTCTATCACGAGCTTTGAGTTCTCACCAACTATGACCTGCAGTATTTCCACGTAAGGAGCTGACTACAAGTGGACACGCCAGGTGAAACTTGCTGTCATAGACATAAAGAAGAAAGCTGGTGCACATCAATGACGCCTCATTTGAACATCCAAAAACCACCCAGAGCTTCCCACTCTGGGGCTGCTGCAGTGTGAAGGGTTAAGAGACGCACTGATGCGTTGCAGCACAGACAAGCCCGTCCTCAGGACTCGAAAATGTAGTCAGGGCAGTCTGGAGGCCAGACCCAGAACAACAGGCTGGGGCAGGACAGTGTGAAGCCAGGGGGCCTTACCGAGTATTTTTGGACTGAGCTGGGCGGATATGTAGCCCAGTGTATTAACGCCATTTGCCCTCTCATTCCTTTGAAACAATTAATGACTGAGAGCCCGACAGGCCGGTGCAGCAGCTGGCTTTTTTCTAAAATAACTGTGTGATGCAGATTGGTAGTTTGCGCCGCACTCACGGGCTGAATCACCAAACATCCTCACCATATAAATATCTGCTCCAGTAAAACGTGATAATTGTGACCTTAATGTGTGGCTTCGGCGCTGAATCTCAGGAGGTCTGTTGCATTTTAAAAATAGAAAAGAAAAAAGGGGAAGAAGCTTAGCACTAGTTTTCACACATTTGTATGACTTAAGGGCTTCAGATGAATGTGAAACCAGTGGAATACTTTCTGATTTAATCTTTTTTGTGGCTTCATCAGATAAAAACAGAGGGGAGTTATTGATGGAGAGTGAGGGGGAAGGACACACGAGTGTAATTGGCTGGATTTGAATATAGTATTCATATAGTATTGGTTGTCAGGTTTCCCAGAATGCCCCATTTGTGTCAAATGTTGATGTTTTTGTGTTGAGCCCAGGTGCGTCTTCCCTACTCTGTTTGCCCAGGAAGGAAACTCAAAGGGCAAAGGTATAATTCACACTTTTCCTGATTGTACTTCCTTTTCTCTGCCAGCCGTGTGTGTGTGTGTGTGTGTGTGAGTCAATTCATATGTCCTGTTTTCCCTCCTTGTGTGTACTTCAGGCCAGTTCTTCTGATCTGCTGAAGCACTCACCAGCTGATTTAGTTTATTATGTCTAAAAGAGAAACAACCATAATCTCTTTACTTGATCATACAGTTTATAATATAATTATCTTGCATGTAGAAGCTTCCTGTATCTCAGCCTTCATCTGTTCTTGTCCTTGTAAAAGTCTTCAGTGAAAGGTGGATCAGGGTGAGTAAATCTCTTGTCCAGGGGCCCTGCATTAACCCATTAACCTCAGATGGTGTGCTCGGCACGAAAAAACTCTACAACCCGACGTGAAATAAAACCCCACTGCTTCCATGAGCACGTCTTGTTTGGAGCAGCTCATCCATACAAGAATTCCCACCCATTATTGCTTTTTACACTGTATTGAGCCATCTCAGCTGCTCTCGCTGAGAGACGCCTGAGGCATGATTGAGCTTGGCAGTTATTTTCAGGTCGGGGCGGCACACAGCTGAACACTGTACAAAATGTTCTATGTTTGGTGAGAACATGTGTGAGATTTTTCTACCACGTATGATAGAGCTGCAAATTGGGAGGAGCAGCTGGTTTCAGAAGGATTTCTCCGCACCGTAAATTCCCATGTCATGAGTTTCCTTTTAATGATATCCTCAGTGGCCCTCCGTGACACGCCTGTGAGGCCCTCAACATGGGAACGCAAGTTTCTAACAACACTATGGATTTATGTTGTGTTCATCGGACTTAATTATTTCAACTCAAATTTTGAGAAACATTATTTTGATGTAAAAAAAACTACAATACCCATGAGCCTCAGCCACTGTTGCCGTGGAAGCCAGTTACAAGCTGTAGCAAATTCAGAACGCTTTGTTCATTTGTGGACAAAACAACACATCATTGTTGCTGAATTTAGTTCGACGCTGGCTCCAAATCTGTTGTTTTATTGGATGTTTCTTCCTGAAATTCTTCTTGGGAGTCGTTGTTGACCTTTAACTTCTGATATTTTGTAACATGTTTTCGAGTGGGAGAGTTTCAAGCCTTGGAAGTACTTCAGATATTGTTTGTGCAAAAACAAAAAAACTGAAACTGAATGGGACCATTGAACCAATGAACCCTGGTTGACCCAAATACTGTAACTATACTTTGACTTTGGTAGTTTTCAAACTCTTTCAAACCAAAGCCCTTCTTGCATGCTGGCACCTTTTTTAGTTAAAGACACCATGGGTAAATGTTTCATGACTAATATGAAACAAAACAACAAACGCTGATGTAAATTAATATCAGTGTTGAGTAAAATAATAATATGGTCAATCACCAGTCACTCACTTTCATTTAAGTTTTTTAAAGGCAAAAACAAAACAAGAACACCTGCAGCGATTGGTTAGTCTTATTTTTCCTGGATGCTTGGGCTCGAGAAAGCCTACGATGTTGGGAAGCGCCGCTAATTGTGAAGAAGAGGAAGTTCAGTCCAACATGTTCGATAACATGTTTTGTCCATTTAAAGAATTAGTATATATATTTAGATGGATAGTAAAATTAGAATTTTTAATAAAAGTAAAATGGTGATTAATTTGTCAGCACTGAACAACAACATATGCTATGAGTCTCTGCCACAGATGTGTGAAAGATAGAGCTTGTTGAATGCTTAAAATAACCTTTTTCCATCGTTTTCTGACTAGAAGCTAATCTGGAAGAAATGTTGTCTCTTGATATGCATTAAAGGGAAATTTAAATGATCCTTGGTGGGGAAATAAGGTCAAAATAAGAGAGATAAAAGAGAAACTGAACATGGGTTTATGTGTGAGACAATGCATAAAGGCCTGGTGAACACTCAAAGACACAAACAGAAAATTATATGAAGTCTTCTTTTGAAACTTCAAATAAATATATAAGCATGTTTTGGTTCAGTGCCGTTAGTAGAAGGAGGTACTTTTAAAACAACAAAGCCCCTTTTTCTGCATGGCCATGACACAGTAATGTTTGTGTCAAACTGCACGACTTCTCTTTCCCATAAATCCATCTCCAGAGGGTTCACTTATTCTGCTGAGTTCTCAGATTTATCCCATTGTGTGCTTTAAAGGGGGACATTGCAATATATGCATGCTCCTAGCCTGCTTATTATGCAAGGTTATCATGACGGGATTCATTTTTCTTCCCCCAGTCTATTGAGAGCGAGTGGCCTATTTACATGTGAATTCCTCACGTAGCCCTGCAGCCTCGCTCAAAGTAGCGAACGGGGCCACCTGCAAGGGGAGAGGGGGGAATAGGAGGAGGAGGAGGAGGAGGAGGAAGGAGACACTGTTTGAGGAGCTAGAGAAGTGCACTCCTGTTTTTTTTTGGTGCAGAGAAGAGAAGCTGGTTTCATTAATCTTTAGGATCAATGGAGACAGAGAGTGAGCCGTGGCAGAAATGAACACAGAAAAAAACAGACAACTTTTTTTAATCAAATGTTTTATCATTTTTAGTGTTACTGATTTCATATTATCATCTCCCACAAGAATCACTTAAATACCACATTTGTTTTGCCGGGAACACAAGGATGCTGTAAATTAAATAAACTTTCTGAAACCAATCGTGCAGGTTTGAACATCTCTCTCAAGCTCTCTTTTTTTAAATTTTACAACTACTTCCATTAGTACTGATGTGTGCAAATGACTGCAACACAATGGATGCCTTTGAGGAGAGGCTCCCTGAATGTGTGCACCATTAAGGGTGTTAAAATACTTCAAACAAACTTCATTTGACCACATCTGAGGGCTAAAAGTATTTATAGCATGTTCTGATCGGCCAGCCATAGTAATTATTCGGATGGCCAACGCTCTTGACAATCTTTCCTCCCAAGGTATTCATGGTAGGAAATATGATATCCTTATACTGCAGGAGAAAAGTCAAAAGGGTGGACAAAGCACAGAACTTTGACACCTGAGATGGCGGTTCGCATCCTGCATCCCATATGTTGTTAGGTCTGGGCTACTAAAACACTTCTAACGTATCCTGTCTCATGCTAAATTTAGGAGAAACATCAGTGAAATGAAACAGCCTTTCATCTGCATACATGTTTTATTATCCTCACAAAATTGTCCTACAGAAAATCAGATTCAAAATAGGCGTAATGCGGACCAAATTGCAGACAGGTGTATTAGTCGTTAACCTATAGACAGAACGTTAACAGATGCTCTCTTCTTCCTATAACTGATTGGATGAATGCACCTCTCTCTCTTTTTTTTTTACTTCGGGTTTTCTGACTTGAAAACATCTCAGCTGTTCAGAAGATATCAAATTTTACTGCGACTATCCACCTCATGAAAGCACTGTAGTGTGCTATCAAACCAAACGTTGTCTAATGCACACCTGGTAGACAGGTGCATAGAAAAACAGACCCTTCATCAGGCATCAAATTAAATGTTTCTTTTGCTTAAGTTATCCATACATATGGTAAATGTTGTATGGGTTATATGAACCATACAGGAGCCCCTCCATGAAGTTGGAATGTTGCTAAAAATTA